AATAGAAGATCTCAAACAAAATTGAAGGATCCGCTTGGTCTCGAATTGTGTTGGCAGCACCAGCTGCTTCCAGTGTAACTATAGAGGTGCACGTTGAAGAATTATTATTGTTCTGTTTAATTATCTTATTTTGCAGAATCACAATTCCTTCCGGCATTTTTTAGTTAATTATTACTATCGTTATTGTTTTTATTTATTGGTTTTACAAATCTTACAACCAAATAAAAGTGCATATGAAAAAAATTAAAAAATATTTTTAAAGTAAATGAGTTTGAACGAAAATCTGTTCTCCAAACGAATTTTATTCTAACACTATTCGCATGAAAACGCTTTTTAAATAATGTTTTTTTTTGTTTAAAGCTTTCGGTATATTTGCAGCTTATAGGTGTATTGTTTAAGAGCAATCTCGAAGGTTACTTAGAGGTGATTAATTTAACAGAATCAACTGGTTCGAATTTCTATGAATTGCGCTTTAATTTTAGGACATTCCATTTATTCCATCGTCCTCTAATAATATTCACCAACAATTGATAGGCTTCATTAACCGTTGAGAATGAAGTTACTTCATCAGGTAATCATTTGGGAATAGAGATAACGATGAGTTTCACTCCATCTTCCACTACACGGATTCTACTTCCGGCGACAGATACACTAATTTCAAGCGACACTCATCGTACTAAACTTTAATCGAAGCACAAATTCAACCATATCATTTTTTACTTCTCAAATTTATTCGGAAAATAATTATTAATACGATGACAGAAATGAACGAATTTTTATTAAAAAAATTTAAAACCTCTTAACTACGATACGACTCAAAAAGAATCTTTAGCAGACTTTGCATGTCTTTGGGCAAGTCTTTTTCATCAACTCGGCATATGGAGCGACGTTACAAAAATTTTCAAAATTTTTGCAGTTCGAACGCACTTCTTCACAATTTCCAGCTGATTCAGGTGATTCGCCTAAAACAGTTTTAGATTTAAAAAATCGCAAAATAATGTTTTCATGCTGAAATATGCGAAAAGAAAATGATTTTCATGATATTAAACATTTTGCTTTAGTGAAGCATATGAAATTTTTCATGAAACGAATTACCTTCTGCATTGGCGACATTAATTATTCCTTGCAAAAGACAAACTAATAATAGAAATTGAAGCATTTCGGTAGAAAACAAACAACAATTTTGGGAAATTGCAGTTTTTTTTCGATTTTTTATATGCTTGCGGTACAAAAGATTTCGTCAGTTGGGTGGGATTTATTCGTTTATTCAGTCTTTTACCTCGAAAATTTTCGGTAAAATCCATAGAATTTATTATTCATTTTCTATTTTTCAATTTTTGTAGAATAAACAGCGAGCAAAATTTTCAGCAGTTTTTTACCATCAATATTATTATTTCTAGTGATTTTTTTCGTATATTTAAAAAATATTCGATCTAATTCTTCTAATCAAAATTTCACCATATATTTAAGTATTTTTCTTCTATCAGCGTCTATTTGGTTGTCAGAGAGTCACCTGGAAATGGAGTCACAAATGAATCGCGTCACCATGTGGAGATACAATATATCTGCAATATTTTGGGAATATCTCTGTTAATATAAAAAAACGCTAACACTTTTCGAAGTAAAATTTTTAGTTTTTAGTTTTCTAGCAATTTAAAACAGTATAAATTATGAAAAATTCAATTAAACTTCGAAATACTAACAACCGACAATTTTGGATTTAATTCAAAAATTTTGGTCAACCGTGGACCATAATGGATGAGCGATCAATCTCTTTAAAGCACTAATAATAATAATAAATGTAATCCAAAATTCAGTTGAATTATAATGCTTTTAACGACATTAAAATGAATTTATTCATGAAAATAGAAAAAAGTCGACTCTTTTGGTTGAAAAACATTCGAAAATATTTGTTTTCGCAGTGATAAGCATTGAAATTATCACCTGAACAAACAAAGATAACCTATATTGAAGGCAAAAAATACTAAAGTTGTTCGTAAAAGATCAGCGATGGCTGATTGGATAATAACTGGGATTATTGTACTGAACAGTAAAAATTCCTATAAAAATATATGCTGCAAATACGAATAAACTCAGTTAAATTTATATTTTTAAAATATCTAATTAGCGCAATAAGCAAGCGATTTTGCATTAAAGAAAACTTTAAGTATAAAGTTTTAGAAACTTAAATTTTTTTTTTCTAAAATTTTAGCAAAACATTTAATAAATATAAATATTAAATATTAAACATTAAATAAATCTTTAAATGCTTTGTATTGCAATTTTACCGTTTCGAATAATATTGGTGTGATAAGGAATTTCTCGAACGATCATATCAACTGATAAAATCCTTCAGCATTTTTTATAATACCTGGAAAAGATAAAAAATGCCTGCACGCAAATTTACGCGTCAATAAATCAGCGCACTTTGGCATGCAAATATTCTTAATTTCTATTAAAAAAGAAAGAAATCCTACGGGAAACCTCTCTGAGTTCGTTGCATTATCCGTAGTTTAAGGCACATAAGAAATCGTATAGACTGTATTGCAACGAAAATTTTTCCCAGTTGGCAAATACGAGTTTTCTTTATTATTTTGAAGATTTGACTTTTCCTTATTTCATTTTTTATCTATCATTTTTACAATGTTTTCATTCACAAGAAACCTTTGCTTTTGCTTCTTCAGCATTAATTAGTAGTTTTCATTTAATAGTAATAAAAATATTCACAAAATGTATCATTTTTCATAGATCACTCAACAAATGCCATATTTGCCCTATGTTCATCTGGCGATTAATGGTACTTTGCAGCAGTGAGAAGTAAGCAGAACCATCTGAGGCGTCAATCTTTGAGAGACTTTGAGGCTATTCAGAATTAGAGATGACCACTTGCGGGTGCTAACCCGGGGGTCATTGAGGAATTCCACTATTTTCTTTCAAATATCGCCTCAAAATTTAAATTTTCTAATTAGTTGAACAATACAATTTAATATTAAAAAATCCCACATAATAAATATGATGTGAGGTTTGGGAGAAAAGAAGAATAAATAGGTAATACAAATATTTTATGGCAAAAATTTTTTAAATCATGAAGTTTTCTTTAGGAAATCTCCAGGAAATTACGTTTTTTATGTTGCCGTTTCATTTTTTTGTGTTAATGCTCTTCCCTATTTTTCTGACCATTTAAAAAGATACGATTGCTTAAGCAAAGTATCATAAACACAAAACATCAAGAATTTTGATCAATATTTTATCCCCTCTGATGAAGAAACTGGTTCGGTTCAATTATCAATGATGCTGGGCATGTCAAATTGGGCGAACTCAACATAAATAATCTTTTTATTTTTGCAATAATATTCATACCTGGTTTTATTAGGTTTTTCAACAATTTACTTGGCAATTTTTAAAAAAAGTATTCACAGAACGAAACCCATACAATTTACATACAAATTTTTTATTTTTACAATTTNAATTAATTCGACTCTAAGAATTATTCTTAGTTGGCAGACGCAAATTAAATATTTTGATGTCCCTACTTCTTTTTTTATTTTTGCAATAATATTCATACAGCAAACCTGGTTTTATTAGGTTTTTCAACAATTTACTTGGCAATTTTTATTCAAAAAAAGTATTCACAGAACGAAACCCATACAATTTACATACAAATTTTTTATTTTTACAATTTTACAAAATCCCAAATTTTTACAAAAAATCATAAAAATTCAAAAACCAAATAGATATATTATCCACAGCTCGTTTGACAAAGTTTGCAGTAGTAAAGAGGGTCACCCAAGTATCCTAATCAAGGAAGTCATAGAGGAAAAGGCACTGTACAAAGGTTAGGCATATAGGAGTTCATCCGGAGGGCTTTGAGAGACTATATTTCCTCAAAGATCATTATAAAATTCGAGAAAAAAGTTCGTAAAAATTACATAAATATCAATCGTTTACAAAAATCATAAATTCATTCATTAATCAAATGAATATATCCATCCTATGTTCATTTGACAATTAATGCAAAACTTGTAAGAATAAAGAGAGGGATCAGAGTGTCCTAACCAGGAGGTCTTGTTGAAATAGACTTCTAAAACAAAGGATGGCCACATAGTAGTGTTAACCCGGGAGGCATTCGACAGAACCCAGTATTTTTTTTTAAATATCGTTACAAAATATGCAAACGAATTTCATAAAAATTGTCAATATTTTACATAAAAATCATAAAAAATTTAATAGCCAAATGAACCAGATATAGCCAAATATTTATTCTACGTTCATTAAATAATTTAGGCAAAAATTATAAGTGTAAGGATGGCCATCGGAGCATGCCAACTAGGGGGTCTTTGAGAAACAAGCTTCACAAAACCAGAAAGGGTAGTCACATGCGATAGCAGAGAAGGTTATCTGAGGTCTTTTATTTGATAAATAAGCATTCCTATAAGTAATTATATTGATTTCTTATTGTAATTTTAGTTTTGTACGATTTATTAGAAGTTGGCTTTAGATAATATAATTGATAAGAATGTAATTGACGAACACCGTTGAAATTTTTAATGTAAAGGGCCATTTGAGGGTTTTGAGGAACTCTGATTCCTCTCAAATATCATCTCAATTCAGGAATGAAATTAATATATATATATATATATATATATTTACATACATTTCCTTTTTTATATAAAAAATAAAGAATTCAATAGTCAAATGAACATATTTCCCAAATGTATAACACATATGTTCGTTTGACAATTAAGGGAAATTTCAAAGATTGAGAAATCTGAGGGCCTTTTTTTTCTCGATTTTTTTGGGAAATAGAAGAATTGATTAGGAATTTCTCATAAAATTTCAAAGATGTCGATATGCATCATTTACGTCTAAAGAATTCGCCAACTTTTGAGAAAATCGTGCAAAAAAAGGCACAATAAAAAATGAAGCATAATTGCTATTAGGAATTATTATTTACCAAATAAATTTTCATTTTCACTTTAATCGCAAGTGATAAAAGATAATTATGATACAATTTTAAATTGAAGAAAAATTACTTGAGCTATAGGCGTGTTTGAGCGTTTCTCTTCAATCCACAATGACATTTTTGGCACACGTGTAGCTGACAAACAAAATTTAAACTTAGACAACAATAAGTATATATCATCTGATTCGCTAGCAGTATCAACAGGCATATTGTAGTTTACAATAAATTCAGTGGCATCACTGACGCTATCAAAACCGAGAATATCAACAAGTTTAGCAATCGGATACTAAAAAAACAATTTAGCAAAAATGGTTTTGTTGATAAATTGAAAACAGCACAAATAACATTGAAAAATTCCCTCAATTTTCCTCAATTAATTCAATTCCC